ATCAAGCGGATTAAGACTATACATATTACCATTCAAAGGTTCAAAACCCTTTTGCTGCTCTAATTTTAATAGGTTATTATACATGTTTTATTTAATAAAATGTATGATATTTGGTATTATACATAATATAATTTCACATTAATAAAAATTAATCAAACTTACTTTATTACTATTAAATTAGCTGCAAAAAAACAACAACTTCTCTCTCTCCACAGCTGAATGATTGTGTGATTTTAGACCCAGTGTGTGGAGTTGGTGCTGTGCTGTTGGAAGCAGCTCAGGAGTATTCAGTAAGTAAACACACATCACACACTCTAAACTCCACATGCAACTTTTCACACACAGCATTCACATCTGACTAACTGTATACATTGTGTGTGGGTTCAGAATGCTGAATTTCTAGGCATGGATTTAGACTTGTCACAGTTGCAGAAAGCTGCAGAGAACGTGAAAGCATCTGGAATGGAAGGAAGAGTGCAGCTACTTCAGTCTTCTGCCATGGGTTTGGACAAACTCTCTCCTCTTTCATCATCTCTGACCCTGTTTAGCCAACTTTAAATTTGTCAAGGGTGATCTGTGTCAAGGGTGTAGTTTTGGTTTGAACATTGGGTGGGTGGGGGTGTTGAAGTGTGAACTGCTTTAGTGGAGTCCCGGGTCATGTGCCCTCATAAGGTTTGTTTGGTTGCTTATGTGTATTTTTGTAAAACTTTATTTTTTTTGTGCTGTCATCCACACATGCAAAGTTTGTTGATAACATAACTGCAATAAAGTATTTTGCAATTTTCGCATTTGGCTCCCAAACTCTGGAATAGCCTTCCTGATATTGTCATTTTGCATTATTGACACTATTTTCCTAATTAATGCTGTTCAGTTGCTTTGACACAATCTGTATTGTTAAAAGCGCTATATAAATAAAGGTGACTTGACTTGACTTAATAGCCTAGTTAACAATTACTTGTTTACATAGGATATATAATGTTTAGGCACTCATAGGCTATAGTTTGACAGAATGTTCTAATTTCTAACATTTTATTATATTGATATTGTTTATTTCTTACTCCTTAACAGTTCATCAGGCTCTTAATGATTTAATCTATGCCATCTCTGAATATCTGAAGGCCAGGTTTTTCCATCACTCATCATTAGAACCCATTTTACACGGCTCTCGATTCTGACTTGTACTTGCTCTTATGAAAATGTACCATAGTTCTTAACTGTAGCATTTGTTATAATAAGGCTAGCCTATTAATCATTACCAGGCCAATAATTACTTTTTTTTATTAAAATATATAGCATTTGTTATGAAAAAACAACAGCCTGCACATTTAGAAACAATAGCTGCCTACAACATGCCACAGTTGTAATATAAATCTATAGGGAAAAATCTATTCCCTTAACAGATTATCTATTAAAATTTCTAAAACAAGTTCTAAAACTAAATTTGCTACAATAAATAAGCCTACAATAAATTGTACCTGCTAGTTTTGGTTATTGGGGGTTACCTCTCCCCAATGAAAACATTTTGTGATAAAGTCAGAAATTTGTGTGACCATATTGTTAATGTACCTTAAAGGAAAAGCACATCCAAAATGAAAATTTACTCAAGTTTCTTTCTTCATCGGAACAGATTTGGAGAAATTTAGCATTACATCACTTGCTCACTGATGCATCCTCTGCAGTGAATGGGTGCCGTCAGAATGAGAGTACAAGCAGCTGATAGAAACCTCACAATAATCCACAGTAATTCACACAACTCTAGCCCATCAGTGTATGTCTTGTGAAGTGAAAAGCTGTGCGTTTGTAAGAAACAAATCCATCATTAAGGTGTATTAATTTTAACCCGTCGCTTCTGGCCAAAACACCAGTCCATAATCCTCAGTAATGCTTCCTCCAATGAAAATACATCCTCTGGTGTCCTCTCACATCAAAATCCACCGGCATATTTGTTTAGAACTATTCTAGATTGTTTTCACTTTTAAACGGCGCTTTGCGGATCTGTATATTTCTCCTGATTCAGACAATATGACCTTATCACTGGAGAAAGCAATGTTATTGGATAGAGGACTGGTGTTTTAGCCAGAAGCACCGGTTTGAAGTTAAAAACATCTTAATGATGAATTTGTTTATTACAAACATGCAGTTTTTCACTTCAAAAGACATTAAATGATGGACTGGAGTCATGTTGTGGATTATTGTGATGTTTTATCAGTTGTTTGGACTCTCAATCTGACGGCACCCATTCACTGCAGAGCATCTATTGGTGAGCAAGTGATGTAATGCTAAATTTCTCCAAGTCTGTTCTGATAAAGAAACAACTTCATCTACATCTTGAGTGGCCTGAGGGTGAGTAAATTTTCAGCATTTTTGGGACACCAATGTGTGCATGTAACACACAGTAAATGAATTAAAAGAGCCTTGTCTCCTTCATTAATATACTTTTTTTTCTGTTCCTCAGAGATCCCTCTTGCAGATGGGACAGTTGATGCTGTGCTGTGTGAAATTCAGCTGCAGCTATGACATGCCAACTGTCCTGCCATGCTTACTGAGAGAGATGGTGAGATGTGTTATATGAGCATATGTTTATAATTTCTCTACAAATATCTGTGCTTTTGGGCTGTAGCTGTATAGTCAATGTGTTTTTCTTTCTTCAGGGTACTTCGGGTTGGTGGACAATGACATCTTGTTCTGTTACTGAGTTTGCAGCTTTCTGCACAGCTTAAGAAGACAATTTGCACACAAGAACACAGCCAAAATGTAAATTCCTTAGACACAAATAATGTTCACACTGACCTCTCAAACACACACAAAGAAAGCACAGACACACAAAAACCTTTAATGTTTCATAAATCAAGCTCTGAAACATCAAATCAAATACACCATTATTAATCAGCTCATTACAAACACAGAGGACACACAGGGTTAGTCTGGGCAGCACAGACGCGTTTATACACACATACACCAAAATACAAAATACAAACACACTGAAATAAGCTCACTCTGATGTGCTTATGTGGACAATCAGAGAATTTACAACAAATGAGCAAGATGCTAATAAAATCTATTCAAAAGATCCTTATATTGTCTTTCATTAAAAATAAGTTGTTTATTACTAAAAAATTGAAGTCTTTTTTTTTTTGAGGAGGTTATGATGATGATGAAGATGATGAACAAAAATGTTATTCCCTCAGAATTAACAGTGCCCTTTTAAACACCTTCATTGCAGCTTTTATGCATAATTCTTGTGGTACATTGTTTGCCTCTTTCACAATGCGTTATTTAAAAAGTGTGTTTTTCATTATTGTTTAATATTTCACAAGTTTATATTTCATCTTTGTTTCTTGTATTTGCCATGTAATTTCTAATATTGTAACATAATCAATAGTAATTAGACTTTATAAACAGTGTTATTTTATCATTATTTATATACTATTGTAGTATTGATTATTATTGTAAATTATCGCTGTCGCTTCTATATTTTATATGTAACTTTAGTTTAAAAGGGACATAACACACACAGTTTCACCCAATCTCATGTTGATCTTGAGTACCTATAGAGTAGTATAGCATCGTTCATCATAGCTCCAAAGAGTCTTTAGTTTTATCATATTTATAAAAGAAAAATACAGCTTTCCGATTCTCTCCGAAAACAGCCGAGCTCCTGGAGGCGCGCCGTGGGCGGAGCTAAAGAGTGATGAGCACTTG